TACATTCCTTTGGCTTTGTGAATGTATTAGCACTTTATTCACGCATGTGTTTTCCATCAGTGGCACTGAAAATACAAAAACTCATCTTCAGGCAGAATATGTAAGGCTGGCATACCAGCTACTAGGGTAGAAGGTAGCTCCCAGTGTTAATTGTAGATTTGGTTTCACTGCTTTGCCAGCAGTCAGCATCATTAAAACCAGATAGCTGAACATTCCAGCCTGTAAGCTGCTCCCACAGCAAAGAAGGAGACAGGGTAGTGTTGCTATTTACTGGTATGATAAACCTTGTGGGTGTGATTTTTTTCCTGCGAAAGGGAAAAGTGAGATATGTATTGTGTGAGAAAGAGGAAGAAGTAGAGCAATTATGGTGGATACAAATTGAAATGAGAATTTGTGCTCCTGCTTCCATTTTATCTTCATTGCCTTGAGCATAGAAAGAAGAATTAAGAAGAAATTCCGGTGTGTTTCTGCACAGTCAGTTCCTAGTGAGCCTGCCATCTTGATACAAAGATATGAAAATCTTGGGAGAGAAATGAAAGACATTACAGGCTGTTGTAAAAAGAATAAAATTCACTACAACTGCTCTTGTCTTTGGCTGCTCTGGGATTTCTGTGAAAAACATTAGCTGATGTTATGTACTTGCTTTGACTAAAGTAGTGGTGAACCTACTACTGGTGGTAGTTGTCTGGCAGTGAAACCAGGCAGCCCTCTGAGTCACTGTTTAACTTAAGACACAGTTTAGAAAAGGTGATTCCTGAGCAAGCATTTCTTCTAAAGAGAGACCCATCACTACAAGTGCAGTAGTCTGTTGGTTGACATGATTCTCTAAGCATTGCTGGTATGGACTTTCTTTAAAGAAGTACCTTTCAGGGCTAATTTATTTTGAAGAGTTTAGCCAGTTCCAATTCAACTAATTAACAATCTAACAGAATTAAATATGTGAAACAGAGGGAGGAAGGATACCAAGACTCACAGCCATTCCACCATTTTGCAAATGGGACCAGACAAAGCTAAGTGGGAGGAGAAGAAAAGGGAGGACTTTGAGTGACATAGCACCATTTACTCCATCTTATTCTGCTCCCTTACCTTCCAGCCTGTTCCTGATCCTAGGTACAAGTGCAAAAACAAGCTTGTAGATGCAATTTTTCTGGTATAACTTTGTGTATCTTAAACAAGCAGCTGACTAGTTGTCCATGTTCCCATGTAGTTAGCATACTTTGAATCCTGAATATGTGCTGTGATGGTAATAGGAGAGTCACATTGTAGTAAACGCAGCAGTAAAGTTAGATTTTGCAAATTATGGAAGAGTTTTTTGAACTACACAGAAAAATGTAGAACATTTTGAGTGAAATTAAGTCTCAGAAGTCTGTGGGAATACTGCCACTTGAACGGAACCAGAACCTCAGCGAGGGACATAGACATAGCTGATTTTGTCACATGGCTTCCCACCAGAGTCCAGCCAAATTCTTTTTAAATTACAATTTTCAATTGGTTTTGTGTTTTTATTAAGCTTAAAAAATTCCTTTTATTTTTGAATTTCATGTTAACAGGTACGGTACAGTTACCTTTTTGTAAGCTGAGCAAAGTAAACCTTTGGGTTATCTGGTGCCCTTTAATACAACCTTATCAAAATGCTACCTAGATATTGTGAAACTCTGCTCTATTATAATGCTGCATCATGTATTAAATACTTTGCATTATTCTTTTAAAGAGCATTTTTTTACACTTTTATTAAAAAGGTGCATATCATAGTGTCTTGTATCAAATGTGAATCATAGAATCATAGAATCAA